GTAAAATTCAGGGATGGTTGCCTGGCTAGATGGTTGTGACTCCTGATTTGCGTTGGTTTGCCACCATTTAATGTTAGTCCCTGATCACTCCACTTGTAACGTCAGCTGTGAGTTTGCAAGAGTCCACTGCAAGGACCCATTGCAGGAGATGGACCGACATTGGCATGAGCTTGTTTAGCAGCAGGCCCAGCTGTGGCAGGCTCTGGGCAAGCTCCCTCCATGTAGCTTTGCCCCTGCCCCCTAACTCTGGCTTGCAGAACCACTGGCTTTACCCTGTCCGGTCCCAGCCTCTGTAGAGCAGAAGCAGCCAGCTGGGCTCACCCATGTGGTGTGATGGGCACCTCTGGGAGCCACAAGGAGACTCAAAGGCATTTGGACTCGTTCCCTGTGCCAGGAGCTGAGCTCAGATCTCCAGAGATGACAGGCCAGGGCACCAGACGGCTGCTCCGGCAAGGCTGAGACAGCTGGCTGCTTTGGAATCTTGTGACGAGGGCCCATCTCCGACCTGCCCTGTTAATTTGCCAGTCGGCCACCTAACACTTTGAACTGGCCCACAGACGGCGTCTGGCCTCTTTCTATTTATGTCCCGCTGCCCATGCCACCGAATTTCTTATGTAAATGAACAGGAAGGGAGCGGAACCCGGAGCCCTTTAAATAGCGGCAGCAATTCCGGGCGGCTGCCAACCAACGCCGTTGTGGGGCCAGGAGCTACGCGCCCTTTGCTGTGTTTTTTAATTCAAAGCCTCCAGCCCCAGACAACTCTGGAAGTGGGGAGGCTAGTCCCCAGGCCCCGCCCCTTCTGCCTTAGGCCCCGCCCCTTCTGGGGTGGAGCCGGCCTGTGACCACCAAAATTCATTAAGTGGCCCCCCTGCAAAAATTATTGCCCACCCAGGTCTAAAGCAATTTCCACCACTCCTATTTCAGTTCCAGGTGCCTGGCGTTACCTGGCCCTGGCAACGTCCTTGCTGAAGTGTGCACAGCAGTCGGGGGCACAGGCTCCTGGTGCCTGTGGGAGAAGCAAGGGAGGGCCATGCAGAGGGACAAGGAGAGGGCACATGGGGGGACCCCATTGAGCAATTACAGTTTTGGTGGGGGTATGGGGTGATTGAGGCACGTCCTGAGTACTACCAGGGGTCAACTATGGTCCAGGGCACCTGGCAAGAACAAAACCGGCCTGTAGGATCAGGTTCAGCTGGATGAGAAAGGTCACGTCCATTTTCTAACGCCTCGTTGGGCAGCTCACCAGACACGCGGCAGATCTAGCCCCCTCTCCCTGAGCGCAGCCGTCTGCCGACACATCTGCAAGTTCGTCAGATCCTAACAAAATGAGGCAAAGGCTCTTGGGACTGGGAGATTAGGAACATGTCAAGCAAGCTGGGGGGTTTTCCACACCCGCTGCCCCCTCCAAAATGTAAGCCAAACTGAATCACATCGGGTGCAACCCTAGCCCCCCACCCCCCGATTCAACGGGGATGTCCCTGGGGCGGATTTGGTGCTAAGAAGATGGACATTATGCCAGGTTCCAGTGCACCCTGAGGATAGGTTGCCAGGTGTCTGGTTTTTGCCTGGACAGTCCGGTATTTGCATCTTCTGTCTGGTTAAAAAAGCAACATGTCTGGTATTTTCTGGTTTTCTCTGACGGAGGGCCAGCGGGGACATTTTTCCCCTGCCGTGGGGGCAGGAGGAGCAAAGGGAGCAGGGAGCGTGGGAATTTAAAGGTGCAGCAACTCTTTTTTTTTTTTTCCCACAACCAATTTTTTTCCCCACCGTGTTCGGGATTGTTTGTGAAAGTATCTGGCAGCCCTACCTGGGCAGGATCCATCGTTCACTTCCAGCTGGAGTGGCTGAGGCCGCACAAGAATGCCAAGGATGTGCATGAGGCTGTGACCCTGGGTCCGGATCCGCCATCTTCCCTATCCCCCCACCTGCCAGGGAAGTTTGCATTACTGGAGCCCCTTCCTGTCTGAACTTGGCATTGTTTGCACACGCCTCCCCTCCGCCCTCTCTGGGACTGAAGCTATTAATGACTCAGCCAACAGCTGCTCCACCTGCTGTTGAGAAGTGTGTGTGTGGGGTGGGGTGGGGGGAGCAAGTGCCCTTCTCTGTCCTCTCAGCCTTGGCCAAGGGTGTTGGTGTTTCGGGGGCTGGGGATGTTCTAATCCCTGTTTGCTCTTTAAGTGCCTGGGGGCAGGGAACCGAAGGGTTTTCGGGCTCCTGCATTAGGCCAGCAGGCGAGTGGCTTTTGGTAGGATCTGCCCAGTCCCAGAGGAAAAAGTGATCTTTGCCGTGTGGGTGGCACCAAAGCCTAAGTGTAATTTTTTCGGGCCCAGTACAAACTTCTAACCCGAGCTCCCTCCAAATTTTGCAGCCTGGGCCAAGCCCCGCAGGCCTCTGGGCCCCAATACAGTGGACCATCTAGGGATGTTAATTGAAGAGTCGAGTAACCTCATTAATTATCAGTTAGTCGATGGGAGGGCAGGGGGCTGGCAGCCAGTGCGCTCTGGCCTCACCCCCCCAGGAACCTCCTGCCACTCTGCGCTGCTGCTCCTGCCTCAGGGTTGTAGGCGGGAGCTGGTCTGTGAGGGGAGCCAGTTTAAAAACCAGCTCCTCTCATGGACTGCCTGTCGCCCTGTGCTGCTGCCTCTGATACAGAGGCAGGGGTGGACTGGCCCGGCGGGATACCGGGAATTTCCCAGTGGGTCGTCGTCCTAAGGGCCGGCTGGCGGCTGCTGGAGGAGGAGGGGGATTTGTGATGGGGCGCTGCAGCCCCGCACTTTAAATTCCCCGGCGCCGTGTGCCAGCCATGTACAGAGCACTGTGGGGCTGAGGGAACACATGCGCGGCGTGCCCAAACAACAGGTCAGAGGGGAGACGCCCGGGCGTGGTGTGACGTCACGGCCTGGAATTTTAAAACCGCACGGCCCAGCGTGGCACCGCGCAGCCCAGCTCCAGGTCCAGCATGTGGTCTGGTCTGCAGCCCCAGAAGCAGCTGGGGCCTCATCACAGACTCTAGTCCCGCAAATAAGAAGGCAGAAGCCAGGTAGGGGAGGGGAAGGGGGAAAAATAGGGGGAAGCGGTGGGAGAGGAAGGGGCTTGTGCTAGGAGATGAAAATGCCCCAGGGTTTGGGCTCCCCCGGGAGTGGGCACCCCACACCCCAGGAAGCTGCACAAGCAGCATTTGTGCGTGCACCCCCAGCAAGCCACGCAAGCTGCATTTGTGCATGCACCCTCCCCGGACAAAAAGGAGGCGGGGGGGCAAAAATTTTTTTGCTTGGGGTGGCAAAAATCCGAGTGGTCCTGGACACAGGGAAAGGGGGAGGAGCACACAGAGGTGATGAAAAATTTTTTTGCTTGGGGTGGCAAAAATCCGAGTGGTCCTGGACACAGGGAAAGGGGGAGGAGCACACAGAGGTGATGTCAAAAAGGGGGAGGGACACGCAGGGGTGACATCATGGGAAGAGCCGTTCTCAACCCATTTCCCAGGCCTATTTTGATTGCCAGTCCGCCCCTGTAAAGAGGTAGACGTGTGGGGTGGCAGCAGCTCCTGTCTGGGTGGGGGAAGGGCGTGGCTTGCCAGGACTGATCCAGGCTGCTGGCCACCCTGCTAAAAAATGTACTGATTGGGAGGGGGGAAAATTTGTGTAGTCTACAGTATTAACCTATGAGCTTTTGCTTATCGGTTAATCAGTTAATCGACTACACTATTACATCCCTATTCCCTTCCCCCCCATAAGGAGGCCCTGCGTGACACAGCCATGTTGCTGTCAAGGAGACATTTTACCCTTTTGCATTCTCCCCTCTTGCAGTGTTTTCTCCTGGCTCGAGTATCGAGTCGTGTTCATTCAGTTTTATAACAGTTTGGGGAGTGAGGGGGGGAGCATTCCTGTAAGTTACAACCTCTGGACTCGGACAGAGAAATCTAATGCTCTGATCCCACAAAGGCCCATGCTTAGTGCTACACCGCTGTGTCTTCAAGGGTAGACTGTTAAGGAACTGTTAGGCCCTGGATCAAAGCTTCCAGACAATCATCAGTCGCATTATCTGCTATTTCATGTTACAATCACTAGTGCGGGCATCATTTCTCCCGGGGCTAATCAATAAATTATGCCTGAAGGGTGCTGAGATCGGACGCAGGCTTGAAGGAGGAATTCCTGGGTGCAATGCTATGACTTGAGCTCAGACAAGATCATCACAATGGCATCATAAAAAAGGCTACGGCGATTCAGAACAGAACCCCGGTTCCGATGCTTATTAATCCAGTAACCCTTGGCTGTCACCCCACCCTGTCACACACAATAGTCTAAGAATATACCCAGCTCACATGACTTAACTTCCTTTTAGGACATGCTGCCCCGACCTGCCAAGTCTATTGCTGATCCCAGTTGGAGCTGTTTTTAAAGGTTCTCTCAGCAGAGAAGGAATGTGCAGCCTGCCGCCAACCCAACTCTTGGGAGAGCTCCCTGTTCCCAAGCTCTCCCCTCCCCACGTCCATCAGGGCCTGCCCGTGGATTTAGAACGTGGCGTAAAGTTCTCTAGCTTTGGTGTTTCGCAGGCCCACCACAGTGCAGGCCTGGCTCTGAAGTTGCTCTGGTATTTTGCAGGCCCTGTGCTTTCGCTCTAACACTGTGCAGGCATGGGGCTCTGGCATTTTGCAAGCGGGCTAGTGCCTGGCACTGGTCTTTTGCAAGCTCTTGTTATGTTTAAACCAACCAGGAGGCGTGTGTGACCAGCCGAGCTTATGATCCGTGGCCCATGCACCCACTTCCTTGCTCTGCACCCCCACCTGGTGACCTCCAACCCGCCCTTTCACTTTCATTTCCTTGCACCTGCAGGGAAAAAAAAAACTACAACACCCATGATGCAAAGGGCTCCCCAGCCTTCCGCCCCGTTGTAGTTCACCCAGGGGGTTTCCTCGCCTTGGGGTCTAGGGCGTTCCACATGTTCTGAACTACAACTCCCATGAAGCCCCGGGCGCAGAGGGCGTCCCTCCCGGCCGCTCTCCCAACAGCTGATCGAGAGATGCAATGGCTGCAGCCGCTGGTGATGGTGGGGGAGAGGGAGTAAATGAGGAGACGGGGGCGCCTGGAGATGGCAGGTAACAGGGCGCACTGGGGAGCTAGGGAGCAGCCCTGGGGGGCTTTTGGGGGTGCAGGAGGGGGGTGTTTCTGGGAATCTTTGTGCCTGGGTCGGTTGCCAGGGCAGGGGGGTAGGACGGGAGCCCGCAGGCAGAGCAGGGCAAGCTCTCCTAGGCTCTCCTAGGGGCTGCCTTCAAGATGCATCCCCTCCCCCCCTGCAGTTTGGGGGGTGGGGGGAGCTCTCTGAGGGACTGGCTGCAGTGGATGGCTCTCTCCTGCATGCATCTCCCCAGGGGCAGGCTTTGGCCCAGGGTGCCTGTCCAAACTTTCTCTTGCTTCTCTGTCTTGCAAGGATCTGTGCACCTGATAGGCACCCTCCTCCCCAGAGCTGGCTGCATTTCACTGGGGCGGTATGGAGAGACAGGAAGTGTTTCTGTTTCCTCTTCCCTGGAGGGGGTTGACTCAGACTTGCCCAGCATTCAGCCATTCTTCTTAAACTCAAGAACAGCACAGGAGATGTGAGAGCCAACCCTGCTCTCCGCATGAAGCTCCAAAGGACCCTACGGAGCCCAGCAGTAACTCTGGGGTCCTAGATGGGCCTCGTGCTGTGTGCAGAGGTCATCGCTGTGCAGATTCCCATTGTAAATGGTAGCATGAGATGCCCTGTGCTCATTAGGGAATAGCAAGGTGCCCTTAATTACTTTTGCAACGCTCAACCCTAAATATTTAGGGGTGACCAGTGTAAGCATCTCAAAGTGCTCTCGCAAGGCTTATAACATGTGCCAATTGTTCTTCTGGGGTGAATTCTGGCCCCACTTTGAAGTCAATGGCAAAGTGCCCATTGACTTCCGAGCGGTCATGAGTTCACCTAATATTTAGAAACACAACAGGAACCTTTCTGCACTTGTGAAATCTTTATCTCTTACTATCTTTAAAACTGCAAAAACCAGCT